TTAGGGTTTTTCTTTGTTTTGTTTTGTTTTTTACAATTACTCCGTAAACTTTATTAATCACGGTTTCATCTAGTGACCCTTCCGTGGGCCATCCTACACCAAAAGCAGGCCAATCTACTTTACAAAGGATGTTAGGTTGTTAGGAGTTAACTTAACTCCATAGTCTCCACTAAATCCCTTTTTAAAGTTATTAATCATACACTCCAAAGGAGTATTTTTACTTTGATTTCCACCTATCTCCTCCAGTTACCAGATGGCAAGACCGACACAGAGGGGGAGGGGTTTTGGAAAAGCACTTGCTTCCTCTGTCTCCTGCCGCTCCCCTCCCCGGGACTTAAGTGACTCTTTGGCCCCAGTGAGTCCCTATAAACCCTGGATTGGAGGCCCTTGGGGCTCACCCTTGACCTTATGAGTTCGCCATGAAACAGAGGATCGGGACTCCTCACTGCGTCTTAGCTCACACTTTCACACACTCTCACATGGCACAATACTTCCATCTGGCTCCCTAAACCTGAGAAACACAGTTCATTCCAACAGGCAATTACTAGCGGTCTCTGCATCGTGAGGCAGGCCTCATTTGGAACCTGGGTTCTTACCAGTATGAAGAGTGGTGCTCCTAAATTGATTCCTGCATCTCAGTGGGTTCCTTTGTGCATCCGAGGCCTTCACCCTGACTTCCAGGGAGGATGAATCCCCTTCTGGATCAAGCTGTCTGTTGGCGCCTGGTGGGATCTCCTCCTGGTGGTCCAGAGGGACACACCCTGGTGACAAGGGAGTTGATAACTCACCATCTCTGCAATCCCAGATAACAAGCCTCCAAGAAATGTCGCCAGAGTTCGCTAGCTGAGATACGAGTCTCTGAGGCATATTAGCAGGAAGCAACGTTTATTGTGCCAGCACAGACCCAGAGGACTGGTGTCCAAAGGCTGAGCCCCGAGAACAAAGGGGTCTCACCTTATATACCCTTGCAAACAGCTTACCAAAGCAAAAAGGAAAGCTCAACCCACATATGGCTGCATGTGACTTCACGGCCATTCCATTTCCCCAGTGCTATGTGACCTTCATATTTCAATTCTTTAAGTTTTCTCTCTGCTTTGCCTTCTCCTCCCCCTGTCTCTTAGAACACCAGCCTGTCTGTTTCTTTTCTGGCCTCCCCTTTCTTGCTACAGGAGGATGCAAGTTGAAAGCCAGCCTGAGCTGATAGAGTTGCTCAAGTGGTAGGGAAGCCCTAAATTCAAACCCCAGTACCGCCAAAAGCAAAATAAAACAATCTTTCAAACAATACAAATTGCAAGTTAACAGAAAACATTTCTCCCCAAAGGATATGCAGCAATAAAATCCATGAAAATGTCAATTGCCTCTTCTTTGAGACTACTTGGGTGTGCATGCGCGCGCGTATCTGGAGTTTGAACTCAGGGTTTGTAAAGCTCTATCGCCTAGAGCCGCACCTCCTGTCCATTTTACTCTGGTTATTTTGGAGATGGGGTGTATTTGCTGAGGCTGACCTCCAGCCGCTATCCCCTGTTCTCAGCCTCCTAAGTAGCCAGGATCGCAAGCGTGAGTGCAGTCACAAACGGTGGTTTGGAAGGAAGTACCCAGTTTTTGACTGTCATGTCTTAATCCTCTGCAGAAAAACCTTTTCTACTTAAGAGTTTCAGAGAAAAACCTATTATCTTAAAGGAAAAAAAAAGTAATAAGATGGGTTCTACTGTAGGGTTTTTCACAGAACACTTGTCTCTCATAAGCAAAATCAACAGTGTCCAGCTTATTTAACTGACGTTATACGTAACTCCAGATATTAAAACCAACACAACGAACAACAAAAAAAAAACACGCCCATATATCTAACCTGCATGCTCCGCATTAAATCACCTAAGTCGCTAGTATGCTGGCTGTCACCCACACAAAACAACAATTATCTATCTTTTTAACCAAGAATATTTCCCCTAAAAAGGGGAGTGCACCGTTCCTGGAAGTACTGCAATACCAGGCCGACGCGTGGAGTGGACGGAGCAAGCTCCTATTCCATCTCCTATTTCCAAAAATCCATTTAATATATTGTCCTCGGATAGAGGACGTATCAGATATTAAACTGATAAGAACAGATACTACACTTGATCTTAGCCAAAAGGCCGAGAAGCGATACCTGAGCTTGCTACTCCTAGGCAGCCTTACTCTTACTGTCTCTTTTACAGTGGTGGTGACTTGTGAGAGCGAAGATTAAACTATTTTTTAACATATACTATTTCTTAAACTCGAATTTTCCTTTTTTGTTTTATAACAAAAGCTATATTTTTGAACAGTCCTTAAATATGTTTCTTTATTTTTTGGCTTGTCTGTAGGGTAGTATGGGCACAATATTTTGCATAAGCCCGCCCTTACGCTTTTAAACGTTCTTGGGATTGATCCACATACTATCGCGATTTCCACGCCTACGGGAGTCTCTTTTTCTCCCGAGTTGTGGTGTCCGGTTCCCATTCTGAAGGTATGGGGACTTTCTCCGGTGACGGCGGCGGCACCCTTTTTAGGGACATGTATTGGGAGAGGCCGTGGCGCGGTTTCAGACCTCTGGTTTTGGTGTATGAAGAACCTAGATGCGATTCTCTGCTCGGCATTTCCTGACTTGGTAACACAGAACACGTGCTCCTGTCGCCTCTCTGTTAAATCGGATAAATAGTTCCAGGCACTCTTGGGGGCAGAGGCTCTGACAATTGAGGAGCTCGGGGTGAGGTGCTCTGCTGCCCCTCCGGAATAGCTCACAGGGAAGGCAAAAGTGTCTTTATGACTGTCATGTACCCCTCGCCTCCGCATCCTGGGGCTCGGCTCCCTTTCGCACCACTCCCCAATCCCACCACATCTGCCATTTGTACCATCCGTCACCAACTGCCTGGGTCTTCCCACAAAGCGAAGGACAGACATTCCGAAGTTCACGATTCCTAAACTGGGTGCTTGGCCCCTCGTCCTGGGCCCTGGCGCTCCTTGCACAGTGTCCTTGGCAGGCGGACGGGAAAGGCTGCTAGACAACGCCGCTCACAAAGTGCGACCGAGAACCGCCGGCAGGGGGACAGGGTTGTTAAGAGGATTCTGTGTGGGACAGGGCAGGGTCTCTACCGGCAAGCTTTTGCTTTGCCTTTTTCTTACTCCCCACCCCACACCCCGCCCCGCACACACCTGCTAGGATGCCATCGCTCTACCACGGAGCTGCACCCGACCCTTGCAAGTAAACTTTGAAGCCATTTTCTACAATCCAAAGCAAAGCCCGATTGTATGATAGAGATTAGTATTGGATCCTGGTTAAGAAAGGACTTCGGGTCTTGTCTCCTTGGAAACTATGACATACAAATGTGGCCCACTTAGTTGGGCACTTCCTTAACCTGGGTCGTCTCTAACTCCAGTAGCATGGGTGAGATTCTCCAGACCAGAGTCGGAGGTTATAGTCTCACTAATAGGATTTCAGCCAGCAAAACGTCTGGTAATCTGTGATTTTTAAAGTTTCAGCTAAACGTGGTGGTGCACGCCTGCAATCCCAGCATTCGGAGGCAGAGGCAGGATCATGGCTTTGGGGTCAGTTTGGGTTGAGTAAGGAGACACTATTTCAAAAGAAAAGTACAGGAAAAAAAAAAGTTTCAGGCTAGAGATCTTGCTAATGGTAGAGTGTGGTGCCTAGCGTGCATGAAGTACTGAGTTCATTCTCCAGCACCACAAATAAAAACAACAAAAATTTCTACAGGTTCTCTGAGCCTCCAGGAAGGGACAAATTAAGGAAATGTAGTGGGTTGAATAATGCCCCAAGATACCCAGGTCCTAACTCTCAGGACTTCTGAATATGTCACTTTACACTGCAAAAGATACTTTGCAGATTTGATCTGGATTGTCAGTGAGGGCTCAGTGTAAATCACACTGGTCCTTGTTAGGAACAGTGGGAGACAGAGTCCATGTCAGCAATGCAGCCTGGGAGATTGGAGGAGCCACTGCTCTAGCGAAGAATGTGGGCAGTCTCTAGAAGCTGAAGCCATTCTTCCTTGGAGCCTCCCGAGAATGCAGTCCTGTCAACATGATACTTGCCTCTTGAAACCTATTTTTATCTTTGACCTCCAGAACTGTTTTGTTGGTAACAATTTTGTGGTAATTTATTGCAATAACAAGAAACTACCATATGAGCAAAATTAGGTATCTTTTTCAAAAGAAAAGCTTCTCTCTCAATCCCAATCTTTTCCACATTCTGCAAAGATCTAGCCTGGAGTAGACTGCAGTTCCCTACCTGGGACCTATGGTTAGACCATAGCTCCCTAAGCTTTTGCTGTAACCAAGACAAGAGGTGAGCAGAAATGCCTCCAGCAATGGAGCTCTTGATGGGCATGAGTCTCAGTACCAGCTCCTCCCAGAGCAAAAGGAAAGCCTGTTCTGGGGCTAAAGGAGTGTTTCAAGGGGTGAAGTGCCTGCCCAGCAAGTGTGAACCCTTAAATTTAAATCCTAGTACCCCCCAGAAAAGTTCCCTGTTCATTTGTACACTGAGCTCAAATGGTTTTCTTCCACCATCCCCTCATACTGGGGATTGAATTCAGGGACTGGCATATATCAGCAAAGCTTGCTGTATCACTTGAGCTATGCTGCCAGAGCTTCGGTTTTTCATTCTTGTTAACTTTGCCTGTACAGCCCTTTTACTCTCTTCCCACCTTCTCCTCCAGAATAGCTGGGATTATAGTTGCACACCACCATGCCCTGTTAAGTGATTTTTCTTTTCCTTCTTTAAATTTTTTTTTTTTTGGTCAAGTGTGCTGCTTGAGTCACTCTACCAGATATTTTCTTCTGTGTATTTAGTATCTGATGTAGGGTCTTGGAAGCTATTTGCCCAGGCTGGCCTTGAACCCCAATCCTCTTGATCCCTGCCTCCTGAGTAGCTAAGATTACAGGCACAGACACTGGCACCCAGTGTTCTAACAGTAAATTCTTAGCGCCTACTCATTTTCCACTCAAACCACACAAAAACATGAATCACATTAAAAAGTTTTATTACAAAATTTAAAATGACAGTATGTTAACTTGAACAGCTAGGTTATGTAAGGTCTGAAAATTCTCCTTTTGATATTATCCAGTCTTCAAAACATGATTGATTGCTGCAGAGGAATAAAAATTTGCTTAGTGGATGGGAAAACACAAAGATACATAAATGCATGGCCTTTGAATTAAGGGGTTATAGTCAACATTAAAGGCCTGCTTCTTGGTACTTTTGTTTAAGTACTAAACACAAATATCTTATAGATACCTACCATTTATATGCACCTTGCAGTTTCTTTAGACCTGGGGGGAAAAATCAAAGTTTCAACAAGTGATAGTTCTTCCCTTTTCCATGTGTGGAAAAATTGTGATAATCCCTCAGACTGTTCCTTCTGGAACAAGTTTTCCTCTTCTCCCCCAGCCAACCCCAGTGGGTTCACCTTTACAGGCTCTGGGGCTAGGGCAGGAAGTAAGCCATGTGAATGTTTCCTCATTGGGAAATTTTAACTTAGCCTATCCTATACCCAATTTTACTCACCTCTAACTGCTGGCTGGAGTTGAGCAAAGACATGGCTCAGTTTCCCTACAAAACAGATTGGAAATTAAATCTACTATCCATGCTCCTTAGAGCAAAAACACATTTATATATAGAGCATGTCTCACATTTTGTGGAAGCCACCATTCTGGAAAACTTCCTATGGTTAGAACTTCCTATAGTTAGCTCACCAACTCAGAAAATACCTTTCGGTCACAGTAATCAGACTGGGGCGGTATGTAACTCATCACTGTGAGCAGGAATTTATCAGTATTGTTTCAGAAACAGCCATCTGTAAGTGCTAATATATATACAATTGTAATGATTTTTCTTTTCCAGTTAAGACATTCTGAACCGTACCTGAGTTCAGATAGGTATTGCAAAAGTATTTACCTCAAATCCCAAATCCATGGATCTGGGAAAACAAACAAAACAACAGTCAGTAATTTTCCCAGCCTGGCATTAAACCATCATTCACACTTAAACCATCATTGCTAGAAAATCAGATTTTCGAGTCTCAACAGCAAGCCATCAGCCGAACGAGATTCTATTAAGTCATCATATGTACATGTCCAGGCCTAAAAAGGCACATTTTACGCAATATATTACATGCACTGAACGTACAGAAATTACTCACCCTTAAACCAACAGCATATTATTGGTAATAGTACCTGCAAAAGGACAAAACTGTGGGTGATAGGTTCCGTATACATAGAATGCTCCCCTTCCCACTTCCAGTCTCTCAGGTGTTCATGTGTTTTCACTGCTAGTCATAGTGAGCTAGTTTGATTCATCACAGAAACTGTCTACTTGGTGGTACAAAACGATGCCAAAAACAAAACAAAACAAAACAAACAAAACTAACCTTTTAACACTGGGTTTTCTGAGGTATACATGAACCAACTGCTCCTGAATCAGAAAATCATTTAATTAGCAAGGTATCCAAAACTATTCTAGCTGTTGATAATAGACAGTTCATAAAACCTAAGTAAATAAATGGTCTCTGAAAGCATTTTGTGTACCTCAGACAGTTCTTTATGGAACAAGTACTCCATCCTCTCTCCCAGCTTCCCCAGTGGGTTCACCATTACTGGCTCTGGGGCAAGAACGGGGAGTAAGACAGGATGTTTTCTCCTCATTGGCACTGGACTTTGGGGCAGCTGCAACAGTCAAGTACTCACCACTTTAGATTCTTTCCAGAAGATTGACTGGGCAGATCAGTCAGTGGGCATCCAGCAATGAGATTAGGAAACATCACTGCAGGGAAAAAAGAAAAAATGCATTATGGCCAACTCAGGGTTTTGGGGACAAATATAATAACCCTATGGAAACATAGGCTCACATCTACAATTCTACACAGTATCAGAAACAATTTACCTTAAAATGGAGAAACGTATCATCACCAGGACAACCTGGGAAAGAGGAACAATCAGTCATTTCCAAATGTTGGGATGGAAAAAATTATCTTCATTATCAACTACTGCCATCAGAACTCTAACATGCTATTATTGTCATACCTCACAGAACATCAGCTTTTTTATTCAAATCATCTGACAGTGATATGCTATGTGCATGAGGAAAAGCATACCCTTACAAGAACCAATTGTACTGATAGGTTGCTTTCTCCTCCCCCAGGAAATCATTTCAAGAGAACAGAGGGTAGCAGCAAAAAGGTAACACTGCTCCACCGACAGTTTACCTCTTTATTGTGAAAAACACTTAGTAATCCAAGCCTCTATTTGGACAATTACCTGCATTCATCCTGGGAGATAAGTAAGATTCTTCAGGGTGGATTACGAGATACTAGAGACAAAAAGAGGGAGCCATTATTTGCACGTAAAAAGAAAAAAATTGTCCATTTAAAACTCCTCTCTCCCTCTGGCCCATTTTTCAGTACTAAGATGACATCACTTAGACTTCAGTCATATGCTTGTCATTGTACATTCATCATGGAGTGGCCATCTAGGCAGTGTCTTTCTTCCTAACAAGGTAAACCCACCTGGAGCATTACTGTAGGAGTGGAATCGCATGGCGGATCTTGTCTTACTCTCCACTTAGTAAGCTCCTTTGAGCTGAACACCTGAAATAAAAAGCACCCTTCACTAACACTTCAAAACTCAAACCCAACGCTCCCCAACAAAACCCAGACATTTGCTGGGAATGGTGCTACTCAGAATTTTTGTTGCTGTCTCCACTAAACTATCAGAAAGAGAGAGTTCAGTTCGTGAATCATCAGCGTAGCGTTACCTCAGGGGATAATAAAGGGGAAACATGGCCGTAAGAACTTACTCAAGCAAGCGACACTGATTCTTGTGTTCACGCACAGCGTGTCAGCCCTGCGGAGAAGACACTACGTTAGTACAGAACATTTTGAAATTGCTGTTTCTGGGGCAATGGATGAGTGGGTCATAGATCGAGCAGGGCTCATCTCCTCAGAGTTTCTTATCCTCACGGAGCTCAGTACAGGTCTGTGAAAACGTCCTCATCATAGGAAACGCCCGCCACCGCCATTTTATCCTTCACAACGCCACGCTGCTGCTTCCAGATCTTTGAGCCCCGGGGAAGACTTTCCCATTCCTCCCCGCCCTATCAAATAGGTAAAACATGCCACATTTGCGGGCTTTTTTAAAAGGGAAAAAAAAAAAAAAAGTATCGGGAAGAAGAAAATTTCCAAGAAACTCAACAAGAAAGCAAATACTCACCAACAAAAGTAGAAAAATGAGACCGAAGGAAACGATTCGAGACACTTAAATACTGTCTCGCAAAGGCCCACGGGATTTGGGGGCGGAACTATGGAGAGCGCACGCGTATATGGAATCGACTAGCGAGCCCGGGGAATTGTTGGTAAAAGAATTCCCAGAAGGTGGGTGTGAAGGCTCCATCCCCGACCTTGCGGCGCGAAAAAGACGCGCATGCGCCCCAGGGTAATGCGCAGGCGCGCCGCCGCGCTGCGGCTTGGCAGCTTAAACTACTGCGGGTGATACAGCGACGCAGTGGCTGCGCCTTCGCGCTCATCCTGGGCCGACTGTTGGTCACGGTCTCGGCCACCTACCCTTACATCCTTCCCTGATCTTCCTTTACTCTCACACACGCAAAACCTGTGTAGACATCCACCTCAATGGATCCTGAACCTCCTGAACCCTCTACCGGCGACATCTTGGTTCCGAGCCAGCCGCCTGACGCGCTTTCCGGGCCTGATGTCCACAGTCCCAGCGCGGGGGGCGACTCAGGTACTGGGCCCCGGGCTGAACTCGGGTGGAGGTCCCTTGCATGGAACCATTTGGGAACAGTAAATGGCTCTACTTAATTCTCAAGACCTACTGATTTTTTCCTGTCTTGTAGTTTGGTCCCATTTCGCTAGGAGCTACTCTGCCTCCCGAGTAGCTGTAGTAGAGCCAACATTACCTGACTTTTTTTTTTTTTTTTTAATTGCAGTGTTAGGGATCTAACCAGGGCCTCGGGCATATTAGGCAAGTGGTCTACCACTTGCACCGTTTTAAGCCCTCTGTACAAGTTGGTTGTTTTAAACCTTTATTAATTCCAAGAGGTAAGGACAATGACAAACCCCCCCCCCCATTTTATAGATGTGCCACCTTACTTTGGCAAAAAGATCTCCAGCGGGGCCTCTTACAGTTCCCCTCTGATTGTCCAGGTCACAGCTATAGACTTGTTGCTGAGACCAACCAGCCCCAGCCGTACTGTTGCAGGAATCTCAAGCTGAGATACGGAACACTGAGGTAGTTTAGCAGGAAGCAACTTTTATTGTGCCGGCACAGACTCAGCGGACTCGGGTCCAAAAGCTGAGCCCTGAGAACAAAGTGGTCTCACCTTGTATACCCTTGCAAGCAGGTTACAGAAGCAAATACCAAAGCATAACCCATATATGGTTGCATGTGACTTTATCAGCTATTTCATTCCCCCAGTGCTATGTGACCGTCTTCATGTTTCAATTTTTTAAGTTTTATCTCTGTGCTTTGCCATCCCTTCCCCCTGCAACATTACCAGAACACAAACTTGTCTATTTCTTTTCTGGTTCTCCTCCCTACTATAGTAGTTAGTCGTTTGTGGTGCACAACTAAGTGAACAAGGATATGTTGTAAACATTTATTAAGCCCCTACTAGCTAGCTGTTCTTCTGCATGACCCTGCTTAATAATACTACTGCCCTAGGAGAAAGGTGTTAAGGTAATATGATAGATGAGGAACCTGAGGCCTGAGAAGGTGAAGTAACTTGCTGTGTTATCCAGCTAGGTGATATCAGAGCCAAGGTACAAATCCAGACAGTCTGATTCCAGAGCCTGTTCTTTAACCACCGGCTGTACTGCTTTTGTGTTATGCAGTTCTGTTCTCAAGGTAGTTGGGGAGCAAGTAAGTACATAGGAAGTAATACTTGGGCACTGTTTCTGAATCTCTTTTTTTTGGGCGGTACTGGGATTTGAACTCAGGGCCTCTAGCTTGCTAAGCAGGTGCTCTCTCACTTGAGCTACACTGCCAGCTGCTGGCCCTTTTTTGTATTGGGTATTTTTGAGATAGAGTCTCAAGAAGTATTTGTCCTGGCTAGCCTTGAACTGTGATCCTCTTGATTCTGCCTCCCCGGCAGCTAGGATTTTGGGTATGAGCCACCAGTGCGCAGCTCTCAGGGTTTTTCATTGTTACCCTGCCTGTGCACCAACCTAAAAAGGACATTCTTTTTCTTCTAGTCCTCCCATGAAATTTTAATGCCATCTGAGATTTATTAACCACTAGAAACCAATGATCACTCCCTTGGGACTCGTGTTGTTCCCAGGAATGCCCCAGGGTAATGTAATGAGATACCTGTATGGAAATCCTGAGAGGATTCCAGTTTGAAGTAAGTGATGGGATGGAATATATCCACATATTCAATAGCTGTTAAGTGCTTGTTCTGTGCATGATACAACGTATGGGGGAAAGATAAGACACTGCTGTCAAAGATTTTGATCTGGTGTGTATGTGAGGATTAAGATGTACATACAAGTAGCCTAAGTTATGTGATTGAAAAGTTATAGCAAAATGTATAGAAAATGGAACAAGTAAACTGAAAAATCAAGGTCCAAGAGTAGGCAGACAAGACTGAGGAGGTTCTGTGTGGGATGAACATGGCAGAAATGCTATATGGGGTTTATCTGGGTGGCATCTAACTTAAAATTTTAAGTACATTCTGGGAGCTGGTCAAAATATGCCTGTGGGTAATAGAGTACTTGCTTAGCATGCACAAGGCTCTGCATCTTATCCTTATCACCACAAAAATGAAAAACAAACAAAAGGACCAGGTATTGAGGCCAGCCCAGGCCAAAAAAAAAAAAAAAAAGTGAGACCCTATCTCAATCAATAAATAAGCTGGACATAGTGGTTCTTACCTGTAATCCTAGCACTTGGGAGGCTGAGGCAGGAGGATCTCAAGTTCAGGCCAGCCTGGGCTAGATAGTGAGAACCTGTCTCAAACAAAAACAAAAACAAACCAACCAAAACCCCACGAAGGGTACCTGTGGGCCAAATGTTGCCCATGGTGTGTTTTTCAATCTCTTGTGTAATAACAAAATCCACTGGAAAAGGGGGCATCTCCAAGAAAAGTGGATGCTCTTTTGGGAAGCTACAGAAAGGCTGAAGGGGGTAAGCACCCAAAAAAGTCAATGTTCTTAGCCCTTTGAGATCATAGGTGATTTTCATTCAACATTCTACTCATCTTCATTTGCTGTGCATTTACTTGGCACAGGGGATACACCGGAAACAAAAAGAGATAGTCTATCCATGTGCCCCCATGGAGTTTATAGTGGATTGGCTCAGAGAAACAAAGAGATACTGTGTCCAGTGAAGAACATTGCTGTGGTATCTGTTTGGTACAGGCAGGGAAGGGGAGAGGGAGCAAGAGGTATAGGGGGAGGGGTCATTTCATTCAGAGGGATGGGGTTGGGGAGGTGGAATTTGGGCAGAACTCTCCAAGGAGATGGTGGGGGTGGGCAAAGTGCTCCAGGCAGGGCACCAGAGCACTGGACTGTGCCTATTGATTTGTAGGTTAACAGTAACACAAAATAACAGTTTCTTTTGTGCTTAGGAGTTTTTTCTTTTTTTTTGGCTGTACTGGGGCTTGAACTCAGGGCCTCTACCTTGAGCCACTCCACCAGCCCTATTTTTGTAAAGATTTTTTTTTTTGAGATAGAGTCTCAAGAACTATTTGCCCAGCCTGGCTTTGAACTGAGATCCTCCTGATCTCTGCCCTCTGAGTAGCTAGGATTACAGGTGTAAACCACTGGTGCCCAGCTGGTTTTTTTTTTGTTTTATTTTTGAACTAGCATACATTAATGATAAGAGGGATTTCATTGTGATAATTTTGTACATGCAAACTGTGTTCTTTGAATAAGTTCTTCCTGTGCTTAGGAGTATTTATTTATTTTGGGCAGGGCTGGGATTTTAATTTGGCCTCATGCTTGCTAAGCAGGCATTCTACCACTTGAGCTACACTCCCACCCCTTTTAGTTACTTTTCAGGTGTGGGCCTCAGACCTCCATCTTTTTACCTGTGACTCCCAGTAGGTGGGATTGCAGGCTTGTCCCACTATGCCATGTTTGTTGGTCAGAATGGAGTCTAGCTGACCTTTGTTCTGGTCTGGCTGGCCTCTCATTCTGTGTCTCTGTAGTAACTGAGATCGTGGGCATGCTCCATCACACGTGGCCTGATGATCTTTTCTTTTTTGACTTCCTATTTACTGCTGATTTGGATATTTTACAATTCTGTCAGACCACCTTATAATCCTAAGCAAGTTTTGTATCTATTAGCAAATTCGTATCAGCTTTTTTTTAAGATTTTTTTTGCAGTGCTGGGGTTTGAACTCAGGGCCTACACCCTGAGCCACTCCGCCAGTCCTTTTTTGTGATAGGTTTTTTCAGGATAGGGTCTTGAAAACTGTTTGCCCAGGTTGGCTTTGAACCAGACTCCTCCTGATCTCTGCCTCCTGAGTAGCAGGGATTACAGGTGTGAGCCACTGGTACCCAGCTCATACTAGTATTCTTGACTGAATTCTCTTTTGAACAGTCTTAAATGTTAACTTGTTCTCTCATTAATTAATAAGTTGAATAAAATCATTGACATTGTTCATTTTATATTTGAGTCATGTTTCAACTTTTTAAAAATTATACTTTAACAACTCTTTGTGTCCACTGCCTTTCATTGATACATTCATTTATTCATTCAAGAAATATTGACTCAGGATTTTTTTTTGGTGGTTCTGGAGTTTGAACTCAAGGCCTCATTCTTGCTAGGCAGGCACTCTTCCTCTTGAGCCACCCCTCCAGCCCTTGACTCAGGATTTAAACTCAAGAAGTCTGACTCCAAAGTTGGAGCATTTATTTATTTTTTATTTTTAAACTTTTATTAGCATATATTAGTTGTACATTGTGATATTTCCATACATGCTTACAATATGCCTTGGCTAGGTTCACCTACACTGTCATTCTACCTCATTCCTCTCCCATGCTTAAAACAATTTCAGCAGGTTTCATAGTTCTGTTTTCATACAAGCATGTAAACTACATCACGAATATTCACCCTCCTTTACGCTCTTTATTCAAAATTGGAGCTTTTACATGCTAGTCCTGTTTTAATACCATGTCTCCCTCTAGCTAAATATATCTCTGTGTATGTATGTGTGTATGCGTGCTTGTGCATGTGTGTGTGCGTGTATGTGTGTATTTGGGACATAATCTGAATATGTTTCCTAGGCTGGTTCTGGAAATTTCTGGGCTCCAGTGATTCTGCTACAGCCTCCCTAGTGTTTGCCACTATGCCCAGCTAACTTTTTTTTTTTTTTTGGTGGGATTGGGGTTTGAATTTAGGGCTTTACAAAGTGGGTACACTGCCTCTTGAGCCACACCTGCATTCCAAGCTAACATATCTTTGTGTGTCTGTGTGTGTGTGTTTGTGTATTTTTTTTCAAGATAGAGTTTCAAGAATTATTTCCCCCAGGGCTGGCTTCCAACTGCGATCCTCCTGATCCTGATCTCTGCCTCCTGAGTGGCTAGTATTACAGGCTGGAGCCACCAATGCCCAACTTGATTCCTCTTTCCAACAAATGTTTTCACATTTTTTTTTCCTTTTGGTGATACTGGGGTTTCAACTTGGGGCTTCAAGCTTGCAAAACAGGTGTTCTGCCACTTGAGCCCACACCTCTGGTCCATTTTGCTCTGGTTATTTATTTATTTTTTTCAGGGGGTGGT